TACCTCCATTGCATTAATAATTTCAATACATATAGCGTTTGTTTGTTTGGTCATATGTCAGCATTTTTTTTTTACCCATAGAATTGGTTGTTATTTGTTTCACGGGAAATATTCGTATAGATTCTAGTCTCATATTTCCGATTAATTCAGGAAATTCGGAAAGACCGTAGATGTTGTTTCAGAATTTGTGGACCAAAGACGATTTTTTATGTTTGAAAATATGGGATCATTTGACAGGCAAATCATTTAAAGTCATATATTTATTTGTGCTCAAAGTGAAATGAAAGTTTAGACATTTCTACATCAACTAAATATCTTTTGAAGTAAATATTTGATACTTATTTTGGTATCATAACTCCTCGACCCTCAGTATCATTGACCTTGCTTCACCTTGTCAATTGGAAGCGTTTTATTATTATTATTATTATTATTATTATTATTATTATTACTATTATTATTAATTATTATAATTATTATGCCGAGGGTCCTTTTTTCTACCCTGTTACAGTTCACCGTCAGAGCATTTCGCCAACGAACATGTTTTTTTCATAAAGACCGCCTCTAAGGTTTAAAGTTATGTAAAGTAGAAAACACGAATATCCTAAGTCAAAGTAATTGAAGTCTTTCCCCTAAGACATCCAGGATAGTGCCGTATTCTTATAAGGGATATATTTGATACAATTGCTTATCAGTTATGTAGCTCTTTGCTAGGAAAATGTGTAATTGTTTGCAATCTATGCATTGCATAGGTCCATAATTTTGCAGATGAATATGTCACACGTCCATAGCAAAGTAAGGTGCCTTAACAAGTGGAAAGAACTTACAAGATTTTGAGCTAATTTATATTCATAGTTTTAATTTTTTCATGCAAGGTTTTCATGCAATCATTGGATAAAAATAAAAAAACGAACTAGAACCAGGCTAAATGATTATCTATGTCTGCGAATTTAATAGTAAAACTATTTGATATTAGATTGATCTACACGCAAATTTTAGTATGCTTATCTACACATACATTAAAAAAAAAAAATGCAATATGGATTGAAAGTACATGACGCGTTGTATATCTAAAATCACCAGCCCTCTTAATTGCCAAGGTTATTAGTGGTGTATTTTTCCCAAACATTTAATATGCAACGAACATAAAGGGAGGGAACTCCTTTTCCTTGTAAACAAAGACTAAAGGGTTCCTTTCATGCATTTGAATATTTCAAGATACGCATCATGAATGAAACGATCATGACTTCTCATGATATTGATCCGTTTTTCGATCAAAATAATGATCATTCTTCCAAAGCATGGTAAGTGCAACCTTCGAAACAAACAATCCTTTACCCCTTGTATCTGCTTCCACTCAGTATTAGTAATAAGTAATGTGTTACAGATTTGCCATATGGCATATAAGCCGCACCCTTCCAAAACGAAAGGCTAAAGAATCACACCTTTTCTCATCTTTTCTTCTTTTGCAGTCATTATTTTTTTTTTCTTTGAAAATGATAACTGCTTTCATGTAGTATGCGATACTTAAGTAATGCTAACAAATGGTAGAAACTGGCCTATAATTAACATTGTTTTACTACATTATTTGTTTCTTTCCAGAATTGGAATCATCAAAGGAAAAAGAACAATTACTTCGGCAAATTGCAAAGGACCTTCACTATACAAAGCAGTACATTAGTGGACAGCTGCAACTACTGAAAATGAACGACACTAATCACTTGAACACAATCGTTGAAGATATGAATGACTACTTCAGGTGAGTTTGTAAATATCCAGAACACGCATCTCTCTCTCTGAACATTAGCCATATTTATAAACAATTATTCGGTGTTAGTTCTGGAAAGAGTTACCCTCGTGTCTCATACCAGGGCCATCTGTGTTTTGTTAGCTCCTTGGGACTGAGCTTGGTTAGGAACAGTTTGTTTGGTGTCCCTTTCGTTCGCTGCCACCCATTAATAAGTTCATCCCTAAGTCGATTTAAACAAGCACTGTTTTTCTCCAAGGGGGCTATCTAGACAAAAAATGCGCCAGAATTACATTTTCGACTTCAATGAGATACAAAGTGTGCCTTTTTGAGAAGTTTCACTCTTCATCCATATCCCATAAGCTTTCAACAAACCCCATCTCTTATTTATTTGGTAAATAATGATTACTGTACAGATTTCTTTTTACAGTATTATAGATTACGGATTTTGTGTTGTAGCGGCATAAAAAGTCCATGTACAAGAATAAAATATTTTATTTTTCCGAATATTAATCTTACTTCTCATTTATTTCATAACAATAATGATAATCATATTCATAGAACTATCTTCAACATTCGTATTGGTTTTAATATTAATATTGATTTTTAAGTTAATGCCATTACGATAATTACGATTGTTTCAGCCATTAACAGACTCCACTAAGTTCATGAAGCTCCTAATACAATTTTTTCGAGGAGTTTCATCCTTAGAGTATGCACTGCCCCAAAATCAATTCATTTCGTATTTCCTTGAAAAAAACCATTTTACTTCATTGCGATATTATAACATCTGGCATCATTTAAAGTTATGCGATATGAAAGCATTTTTCTTTTGTAAAATCAAAATGTGGATGAATTTTTAAAATGAAGTATTGTGTAATCATGTGCATTTTATTTATTTATTTATTTTAAAGAAATATATTACGAAGGGAGAGGGGCGAGGAGTTTTTGCTCCATCACAAATATCCATGTCATTTTGGTGCATAGGAAATTGGAATATTATATATTGCTTTCTGTATTTTACGTCAAATCAGATTTCCCCTTCGTTAAGATTTATCTTGGTCCATGTTTGATTATATCAGTATAATCCCACAGTAAGGAAAATTATGTACTTGCAGCATGCTTTGGAAAGGACCAAGTGCATAGCAAACGGCCAAACTCTAAGGTTTACATATTAAAAGAGAAAGGGAAAATATATTGTATGAGTTTCATCATAAGCAACTGTTACTGCTTGCTCTTCCTAATATATTCTGACACTTTCCTGGTAGAACCCATCTCTGATAGGTTTATAGTACGTCACTTATTGTACACCAAAACTTGTAATTCAAATTCTATCTCATGCACATACAATACATACCTAGATGAACGTACATGCAGTGGATAAGTTCATAACTGTAGAAAGGTGTGAATGAGAATGAATATCTTCACAAGAGATGTATTTGACCGGTTTCGAATATATCTTCGTCAGAAATACAGGTATTTCTGTATTTCTGACGAAGATATATTCGAAACCGATATTAATTCTCATTCACACCTTTCTAAATGAATACGGTTCGTTTATAATTTCAGAGTACTGCGCCATGACCTGAGTCTCCTGCGGGACGCTGACGAGGCAAGTGAATGGCGATGGAAGGAGGCCGAAGAGCTCAGCGAACTGGTCCAGCACCGACTCCGCGTCCTCCAGAACCCTAAGGACTGCAACTCCGCCAGGAAACTTTACTGTGCTTTTACCGGAGGGGTCAGTCTTTTGGTCTATGCGTCTATTTAGGTAGAAACGCTAAAAAATAATCGATTGGTTTCTTTTACCATGAAGTGATGCGTCAATAGGCCGTATTTCTTTTCACATTAATTGATTAGATGAAAGATATATGCACCTTTCTGTAAGGAAATTTTCAATAATAAAATGGGGTATGAATACCTTGCTACAGGGGCCTACATCCCGTAGGATTGCTCAACGCCGAGGACTCCAGCCTCATAGTAGCAAAAGTCACCACACATGAGAAGTACCTAGAAGGATATTTGATGTGTCTAGAACCTTTGAGAAGTATTAGGTTATTTGAAGTGTCTAGGACTTTTATATGTATTTAGGAGAACATTTGAAAAGTATCTAGAAGGGCATTTGTCAAAGAGCATATGAGAAGTACCTATGATGTGTTTTCATAAGTATGTAGAACATTTGAGAAGCACTTGAAGGGTATTTGAGGTATATTCTGAAGGATACTTCAGAAATATGTAGAAGGGCATTTGAGAAGTACTTGGAAGGGTACATGAGACGTATCTAGAAGGGCTTTAAAGAAGTACCTGGAAGGGCACTTAATGATTTGTCTCAATATGTCAGCTGTAAAATCCGCTAAACATTGGCCTTATTTGCTTTGTATTGCTCCACGGCATTTTTTTTTTTTTTTGTAAGATCTTGGAATATTAGTTTAGCTCGAACATTTTGTGGCTAAAGAAAAGAAAAGAAAGAAAAAACGCAGTGTGAATTTGACGCTCCGCTCAAAACGTAGATAGTTATGGATATCTGCATTAAGCTGAGATCTAATAACCACAACGCTCTTATCATCTTATCAATACTACCTGCCTCCCCCATCTCCCACAAATGCAGACCGCAAAGAAAGAGACAAACAACAGGCTCGGATCCCACTCACCTTCCGTTTCAGAACATTCAGAATCCCACTAATTTCAGAATCCCACTCACCGCCTCCAGATCCATCAGAATCCCACTCCCCTCCGGGTCCCTTTCAGAATCCCACTCACCCCCTTCGGCCCCATTTCAGAATCGCGGCATCGGAAGCCAGTTTCACCACCTGACCATCTGCTTCGTGACGGCCTACGCTACCCAGAGGACCCTTATTCTGAACACTGAGGGCTGGTCTAAAACTCCAAGGGGTCTCGACACGTTCTTCCTGCCGTTGAGTAATAACTGCACTAAGGCCGACTTGTCTCAGGTGTCTCCTTGGCCGGGTGAGTGAGAGGGAGGAAGGAGTAGAGAAAACGCCATGTTAATAGTAATCATTTTTTGTTATTAATATTCGTATCATTGGTAGTATTAATATTATCATTATATCTGGTATCATCATTACGTGAAGAATTATAATAAATAATAGGTGTGATCATAATAATCATAAATGTACTAACATTATTTATTATTAATTACTAAAGCTATTGCTAACCACAGCATAATAAATATTATCATTATAACAATTGTAATAAAACACGAATTATGATAATCATATCTATATATGGGTGTCTATCG